AGAGGTATATCATCCGAAGGACTCAACCACCTCCAGCAGAATCCTCTAGCATGGAGACCAAGATGGGGCACGGGAAGAAAGCGAATTCAAATATTAAGCGTTGTCGGAACATCCGTGATCAAATCACGAAGTAGGGAAGCGCGATCAAAAGAGATCTTTGTCAACATTGTCCTTCAACGGGCCCTAGTGGAAGCCCTGCAAAGCACTACCCCAACAATGAGGGGTTATTTAAGGAGCTGCCCTATGCGACGCTCTCCTCACCGAACAACACGACATGCAGGACAAGCTCTGCGCCACGACGAGAGCGCATCGCCTTCTACAGTTACAACCGAGAAGAGCGACGACAGCCCCGGCGCCACTAGTGCTAAACTTGCAAAGTATTCGGGCATCCAACGGATCGATGCAAGTTTCGATCCAACAACCGCCACCCACAATCCACTCACCATAACAATTGTGTCGGCCGACAAGACGCTCGACATTCCCAGCCTCAACAACAAGCTCCTCGTCCTCCTGCACAACAACAAAAACAACAGCAGCAGCATACACAAGTACCCCAACTAGGAGCTATCAGAAACGTGATCGCGAACATGGCGACGAGATGCCGCCCACGAGCCACCTCGCCGGATGAAAAGGAAGAACCCGTCGGCGAGTTAATCCAACCCGAAGAAGGGTGCAACAATCCCTTCATAGAACGCTACTACTGCTACGAAGATGAGGACGAGCAGGAGTGGCACCTGCCAATACAACTGAGGGGAAGCCCACCCCACGACAACCAACGCTTCATTCCCGTGGGATAGAGAGGGGGCGAATATTTTGAAAGGAGATACAAAGCGACTATTGTCACACCGCGGCTCACACTTTTTCTGCGCAACAACAATGCCAACCACAACACCTGGTACCTGGACAGCTGTTGCGGTCAACACATGGTGGGATCTGTTCAATAAACCTCAAACATCAGCCGCGCTCCGGCTACCTAGTGTCACTGTCGCCAACAACGAGCAACTGCGCAAACGCACGAGGCATCATCGTACTGCAAGCACAAGAGAGCAACACACACATAACCTTCAATGACGTGCTCTTCGTGCCGGACCTGCGCTTCAATCTGCTGTCCGCGGCGCATATCTCTGATTGCGGCGTCATGCTCGCCACGGATCCCTACACACGCGACCTCATCGTCACCTACGCTCCCCCCGACACACCCGCCGGGTCACACAAGTACCTCGGACGAGCATGGTCATTCAATGGAGTCTACGTACTCAACTTCGACATACCTGACTGCAAAGCGTCGTCAGACGAGCTCGTGGGTCTCGTTCCACTCGACTTCTCTTGTATGAACATCGAAACTTGGCAATACCCGGATGGACGACCCTGGACCCGCCGCAGTCCTCACCCCCGTGAGATAAACCTGCACCAGCTCAGCCCCAACGGCCTCTGCCCCACCTGCTTCGAGCCCACAACAAGCCGTACATAGGAAGTTGAGAGAGACCTCGCGGCAATCCAAGAAGCAAAGAGCGCCGAGGCAGAACCCGAAGGCATGACAGAGATGGAGCTGGCTATCTCTACTCAACGCATATTCGGCACAGGAGACGAAAAATTTGGGATCGTTGGAAATGGACACTGGAATGGCTCAAAATGGTCTTCCTAAGGGCTACAGGTGTCGTCCTCGGAGGGTATGGGTGCGCTGACCCACCAAGTAAACATGCCCTTTTAGCCCAGTTCGTTAGCGAACTGGACATGGTTGTCAACGGAAGTGTTGCTTGGCCCCGTCCTCGCTTGAGCGGAGCCGACCTCGTGGTCGGATGTACGGGGGTTGCAGCCGACCTGCAGCAGTGGGCACGGGGGCCACTGCAAGGGCGCCGAGCTGGAAAGCGCCGGGCAGGAGGACGCCGTCCTGGACACTTGGTTGGCGTCGTGGACGCCTGGTTGACGTCTTGGAAGGCCAGACGCCGACCTAGGCGTCTGCACGGCGTCCTAGGAGCCTAGAACGCCACCCTGGGCGTCTGCATGGCGTCCTAGGGGCCCGGACGCCGACCTGGGCGTCCTGGGGGACCGGACGCCGACCTGGGCGTCTGGTCAGCGTCCTGGGAGGCTGGACGCCGCCCTGGATGTCTGGAAGGCGTCCTAGGCGTCTGGACGCCGACCTGGGGGGTTAGGACGGCATCCTGGGCGCCTGGACGCCGGACTGAGGACGCTGGGCATGGGTGGCCGGCTACGGACTGCGCTGGTCGACCAGGCGTGGTTGCTCGGTCGACCAGGCGTGGTTGCTTGGTCGACCGGGATACCCGGGCGACGTGCGCGAGTCCGCGAGGCCGACCTCAGGGGTGGTATCCCGAGGTCGACGTGGCTGGTGGGCGCAGACGCTGGCGTGGAGTCTGCTAGGCATCTACGCTGTGCTAGTGACAAGGTGAGGAGCACCAACCAGCTGCGCGCACCTGCGAAGCAGATGCACTATTGTTCTGCGGGTGCAACGCCGTGCAGCCGACTTACTGCAGCGTTGGCACACCATGGACTTGCAACGTTGGCAAACCACTACTCTGCAACGCTGGAGCGGTGCGAGCGATGCTACGCTGGAGTGCGGTCGACCATGCTGCGCTGGAGGTCGACCAGCAGCCTAGTTAGCTCTGATGTAGTCTGTGTTGCCAATATTGTTGCGACAATTGTTGTCAATCTTTGCTAGTGAAATTCTTGCAAAATCTCCCCGTGAATGTGCAAGCAGAGAACACACAAGCAAACGACTAAGGAACGCAGTGATCACACGAGCACCCGTGCCTAGCCCGTAGTCTAGCTCTCGTTGCTAAAGTTATCTCCGCATGGTGCGGTGAGCATGGACGGCACCGCGACGTAGTTCAGTCTAGCCGACTTTGCACTTACTGATCGTGTTCGTAGATCGGCAGCCGTGCAGTCACTAGCATCCGCGTAGGTGACGCCGAGGTGATGGAAACCCTTGAGGCACAGCTGGAGGATGCGAGGAGACGCCATGAGGCCCAGGAGTACGGGGCGATACCATGGGCAGTCGTCGAGGCAGGACTCCGCTCCGTGTGGGTGACGGAGCACCCCCCTTCTCGGCCTGCCTCTCCTCAACCGGTAAACAACGACAGCGGCGTCGATGTGGGCGTCAACGCTGGTGGAGGTCAGGTTGGCAACAGTGCGGGAGGCACGTCGAGGCAACGAGGTGTGATTCACGCCGAAGAAGTCGGCGGCGTTCAGGTGCGAGGGTGCGGTCGCCGACGGCTACAGGGTCCTCGCAGGGCGACGTCGGAGGTCGACGGAGTGGATTGTCACCGATGTCAGCGACCCAGGTGACGGCGGGCGGGATAGCACCGAGCTACGGTTACTTCAAGTTTACGCCGGACAGGATCTTGGTCTCCCCGGCGCTCGTTGGTCGACCGGACATTCTCACCTGGAAGGAAGCTATCGAGCCACAGCTGGAGATGGCCGGGCTGATCGGCTTCACCCGAGGGACTGTGGCGACGCCAGGGGAGCACCATCCCAACTTGCGAGGGGAGTTTCGCGCCGTGCAACTGCTGACCTTCACGGTCATTTCGTGGTGCTGCTCGCCTAGCATGCAGATCGCTCTGAAGTGGTGCCGAGAGTACCTCGACGCCGGCCACCGGGCGTGGCACTTCATCGAGTCGACCTACCAAGTCACCGACGACTTGTTCATCGCCCAGCTGGAGGGGCAGCTGACGCACCTGCGTATGGGCGACGAGGAGACGGCGACCGACTACTGCAACCGAGCTCGGCGAATTCTCACCACTATCAGAATGGCCGGCGCGCAGTACTCGACGGCGTCGTACATCACACACGTCATGCAGGGACTCTCGAGCAGCTACAACCTCCTTAAGCGGCTGTCCATGGGGCCGAGCACAAGGGCAACGCTCAACGAGGACAACTTGACCTCGTGCATCCTGCTGGATGAGGCGATGCAGGAGGCTGAGCGGTCCTAGGAGCTCTTGGCGCAGGCAAACTACGTCGCCCCGGCGAAGCATGGTGGTCGACCGGGGTAGCGTGGGCAATCTGGCGGCGGCGGTAGCAGTGGCAGGAAGCCGAGCAAGGACGCCGACAAGAAGAAGTCGACCAAGGATAACGATCGTGGAGGATGAGGTCGACGCCGGGAATGCTGGCTGTGCGGCGACCCCGACCATCTCTTCTTCGAGTGCCCCGACTGCAGTGACTCCGACGACGACGACGCCAAGGGAGGCCGCGGAAGGTCTGGCTGTCAAACTATGTTTTGCATAGTTTATATAACTGTTTGTAGCTAGTGCTAGTGTAGTTATACATTTGCTTATCTGGTGGTGCACCTTTATTTCTTTCCTATATGTTCTTGCAAACCTATAGTGAAGCCAACCATTCTCTCGCTTGGCACAAACTCCCTCGACATACGTTGGCCTTGGCTACTAAGCCTAGGCCCTAAACCTTACGCTACTACTTCGACATGGTATTGAGCTAGGTCGTTCCCGACCTAATTTCCTAAGGGCCAACCGTTAGCTTTCGCGATGGCGCGTCCCGTCACGCAGCAAATCGCGGCCCCCTCCGTCCCTCCCCGTCGCTCGCCCGTAGCAAAATCCGTCGCGGTAGTTGTGACGGACGCAACGGTCGCGGCGGGAGTGAGGGCGCACGTCGATCCACCGTTTCGCGCCGCCGCTCTTACCCCTCGTCGGCCCATTGACCCGCCACTGCCTTCCCCGTCGCCCTTCCCCGCCACGCTGCCTCTTCGCGGCTCCCTGGCGCGAAAACATCGACGGTCGCAGTGGGGGGGGGGGGGGGGGGGGGAGAGGAGAGGGGGAAAGGGGCGGCGGTTGTCGCTTGAGCACCAGCGCCAGCCCGCGTTTTGCTCCCCCACGCCCGTCCGTACGCTCCACACCGCCCATCGCCAGCTCTCCCACGCCCGTCCCGGCGGTCGCTGTGGGAGGGTGAGGGAAGAAGAGCATGGCGGGACCCCGCCAGCATTAGCACCAGCACCGACACAAGGCACCCGCACCAGCGCCAGCCGCCAGCAGCTACACCGCCAGCAGAGGCCCCGCCAGCAGCTCCACCGCGAGCATAGAGACCCCCTCCAGCAGCTCCACCGCCGGCAGAGACCCCGCCAGCAGCGCCACCGCCATCAGAGAGACCCCGCCAGCAGCTACACCGCCAGCAGAGACCCCGCCTGCAGCTACACCGCCAGCAGAGACCCCGCCAGCAGAGATCCCGCCAGCAGAGACCCCGCCAGCAGCTACACCGCCAGCAGAGACCCCGCGAGCAGCTACAGCCGCCTCCTCATCTTCTCGATCACTCCCGTGTGTGTCGTTGAGTGGGGGAGGCTGAGGGGGTGGCAGCGGGAATTCTGCAGGGACTACCGTGGGTGGGACAGGGGTGTGGAGGAAGGTAGGGGGGGAGGGGGTGTGGTCCCAGGGGGCGGCTGTTATGGGGGGTGAGGTTAAGGGGGGATGGTTGAATGGGTGTGGGGATTTCGGGGTTAGTAAGAGGGGTTTCGCCATGCTTGGCTCCCCCCCACCTCCTCTCCTCATCACCCTCTCACCTCCCCCTTTGTAAAAGGGGGCTAGTAAGAGGGTTTCGCCACGGGTGGCTCTCCCTCAACTCCTCGCCTCATCCCTCTCTCACCTCCTCCTTCGTACTTCTCTCCTTTCGTCTCCTCTCTCTCTCTCTCTCGCCTCCTCCCCCTCACTTACCCCTCTGCCGTCTTCTACTGCGCCAGGTGTACCCCTTCAAGGCGTTCTACACTTCTACCTGCAAACAATTCAGGGGGCGTGTCAAACTATGTTTTGCATAGTCTATATTGTTGGGCTAAGGGCCCCTTACGATCTTTGGTAGGATAAATCTCTGGGTAGAGTGATGTAGTAGCGGAAGTGTTTAATGATGAGACTCTGAACCACCTTGCACTAGTGTGTGAGAACAAAGTGAGTTAATTAAAGCAAACAAGTATAAGGGCTTATATAAGAATACAAGGAATACGAAGAGATATGAATGATAACTCTTTTACTGTTGGCTGTTGCGGTTCGATACAGTGCGACTCGGGCAAGGCTCTCGTTACCGTATCAGACCAAATTGGTCTGATTTTCTGATTTTCAGACCTTGATTTTTGTTTTCATCTGATTTTCAAGACGAGGATTTTTACTTCGTCTGATCAGTAAGATAACGAATTTCAGTTCATCTGATTTTTTCAAAGGAAGCCTTATACTTCGTCTGAAATTTCAGATAGGGGGTTGCATTTTGTCTGATATCGACCCCAATCCCCTCTCCCCCCCCCCCCCCCCCCCCCCCTCCCTCTTCCCCCCGATCCCTCGCTTCTCTAACAGCGCAGCCCCCCCATTTGATGCCCTCGCTCCTCGTCCCTATATTACTGGCCTAGTCCAGCCCTTCTCCCCCTTTCCCCCAGCCTTAGGTCCCCTCCCCAGGTCCCCGCCAGGGACGTCGCTAGCAGAAATTTTTTGTCTGTTTGTCCTATATTGGAGGGTAACTTTTTGATTTAATCCGATAATTCCGAAATCAGGACTTAGTGAAATCTGTTCATTCAGAAATGCTTTTTTGCTATATCAGACCCATCAGAAACGTTTTCCATGTTCCTCTGATACATCAGGAGTACTTTCGGGTTTAGTCTGTTACCGAATCTTTCTACCCTTAGGCGTGATTCACGCGTGAGCAAGGCGTGGTGTGGGTGTTTTGCCGTGATTACCGGAGTGTATGCATCATGCACGCCGCCCCCCGTGTTCCCACGTGTTTCTATCGTACGTGGCCTGCCACAAGTGTGGGATTGGCTAGTTTAGTACAACAGTCATCAATCCAGCACCACAAACCCACAATTTCGGCGCCTGCCGAAGGTTCGGGAAGCGCGGTTTGGGTTCACCACAGTCAGCTGGTGCCACCCACAGTTTTCGGGAGCCATGCGCGGTTCGTCAACAGGGCTCTGTGGTCGGGCGTTGGGGTTTCGGGGGGGGTCCTTCTTCTCCAGCCTCCTCTTGTGAACGCCCTACCTAGCCATTTTCACAGCGATTGCAGACGGTTATCGCCTTAGTCACGTAAGTCCGCCCTCTCGCCATGGCGGACGACACGGAAACTGCCGAATCACCCACCCCACGGCCCAAACCACCTGTCACGGGCCTCGATTTCCTACGCCGTTCCCAGCCAGCCGCCGTGTTAGGCGCCTCTTCGCCGACACGCGTACCACCGTCTTCTTCCCCGAATCGGCAGGATGTCGCTCCTGTAGACTGGCCTGCTGTTAATGCTAGACGGGCTTTCAGTAGCACACCGCCTGTCTCCCCTAGTACCTCTGCACGGATTAGAGCTAATCCTAGATCGCAAGCGGCGCCTAGCACTTCACGTGGTACTGCCGTGGGACGATTCCCAAAGGCAGGTCGATATACCCAGAGCACGCTGCGTATTGCAAAGACGGGGGTTCCTCACGTCCGCATCGTGTCAGGACCCACGCCAGAGCCTAGAGTTGAGGCTGCTGCTGCATCAACAGCACCAGCAGCTCATCCCACAGGTGATCCTGGGCCTTCCAGGAGCACCATCCACGTCCCTGATCCAGACGCGCTTATGGAGAAGCTCCACGAGCTGTCCAAGGAATTTTGGCGCGACAAATTCAAGTGGCTGATTATCACGCAGAGGAAGGACGGGACGCCGTGCATGAAGTGCAGTATATGCATGGCTCACGGTCCAGCCCACTGGAAGTTTGGTAAGAACGGCGAAGGTGGCGTTGATATCCAGCGGCAAACAATGCGGAAGCACGCGCTCAGCCTCAAGCATCAAGACGCAGTCAAAGCCAAGCTTCGCGCCGAAGGCGGTAAGGTTGCACAGAGGGGCATTGAGCAGTTCGAAAACGACGACAACGAGACTTCTCGGTTGAAACAACTGATGCTGGTCATGCTATTTATCTGCAAATCCGATTCCCCCATCTCCCTGTTTATTGATCTTGTTCGCCTGTTGGGTGAGCTTCACACGCCGCACATCCCGGACAAGTCCATAGGGACATACCAGTCAGCGTGAGTGAAAGTCTTTCTTGGTTTGTGTTTTTATTGTCACTACGACTAATACCACCTTCACTGTGTTGTGCAGGTACGGCTTCCGTGAAATTACCGAAGCGATCGTCACCAACCTGAGGCAGCAGAAGATGCGCCACATCCAGGCGTCTCCGTTCTTAGGAATTCAACTCGACGAGAGTACCGACCGGCGCAGAGGCAAGCACATGATAGTCTATCTTAGCTTCATTCGCGACGCCGAGGTCGTCACCGAGCTGTTTGGGCACCTGACAGTCGAGAAGTGCGACGCGTCGTCTCTGCTGACAGTACTTCTCGCCCATTTGGCCGTGACGAGCGTCGACATCATGAAACTGACGGGCATCAGTACGGATGGCGCGAGCGTGATGCGGGGTTCACAGGCTGGAGTGGCGACCCAGCTGAAACTGCGAGTCCCATACCTGGTGACGTGCCACTGCATCGCTCACAGGTGCGATGACAAAATCTCTCTGGCGGTGGTGTATGATCTTGTTGTCAGACGTTTTTCAGTGTTCTAACCGCTTCTTTTTGCACACTTGCAGGGAGGCTCTCGCCGCGAAGGACGCGGCGGAGGCGGTGCCCGACCTCAGCATGGTCGACACGGTCGTGCGGAGCATCGCAGAGAACTTGGGGAGGAGCATCGTCTTGCACTCCCGGTTCATGGAGCTACAACACATCCTGCACAAGACGTCTCTGGAGGTGCAGGGTTTTAAAGACGTTCGATGGCTGGCGCGTGGCGATGCGATTGGGAGGCTCGTGGCAGTCCTACCGGCGGCGATAGTGGTGTTGTGGGAGCAAGACAAGAAGGCCTACAAGACAATCTCGAGTTTCAAGTTCCACTTCTTCCTGTTTTTCCTGGCAGATGTGCTGAAACTGCTCAACGAGCTGAACCTCAAGTTTCAACGGCGCATGGTGAGCAGTAGAGAGGTCCGTGCTGATGTTCATGCACTCGAGCGTGTCTGACGTTGGCTTCTTGCTGTGTGCATGTGGACATCACCCGGGTGGCATCAATGGTCCACAACACGTGCGACAAGCTGAAGCAGCGATACATCGAGCACGGCGTCAACTACGCTGAAGATAGCGAGTTGCTCACCGAGTTCATGGAGAAGCACGGAGCGTTGGACAAGCGGGAGGTGACGGTCGAAGGCATGGATGGGGAGGGAAGTCCCGTTAAACACACTTTCATGTTGCACGAGGACGCCATCAAGGGACAGAAGTCAAAAGGCGACATAGAATCATGCATCACTGTAACCCGCCTGTTTGCGCAGGAAGTTGTGAAACACCTCCTGAAGCGGATGGAGAGCCTAGACACCCTCACCGAAGCGAAGCTTTTCCTGCCTGACGCGTACCCCGAGGGAAGTGCGAAGAGAGACCGACTCTGCCAAGCCTGGTTCCAGTCTCTCCGCACGCTGTTCAGTGCGGAGAAGTGCGTACTTCCAGGTAATCTGTGTGTCTCTGTTGTGCGTCAATATTACACGCTTGGTGATATGGTACCGCCACTGACTTATCTCCCCGTTGGCCCCCGCCCCTCTTGTACTTGCAATTGTGCGTGAGCAGGAGTGAGCTGGAAAAAGGCGGGACGAGAACTGGTGCTGTTTACCAAGATGATGGCCTCGCAGTACAAGGACCAGACCTTCCACACCGGCCTCAAGCACATGTTGCGCAGCGACGACTGGGAGACGAGCTACCCCAACATGGTCCGCATCTGGATCGCCCTCGCCGTGCTGCCGCTGAGCACCGTTGAGTGCGAGCGCGGCTTCTCGAGGCAAAACATCATCAAATCGTGGCTCCGCGGGAATCTGTGCAACACACGCCTGGCGGACCTGATGTCGGTATCGCTCCTGCAGTACGAGCCGAACTGGGAGGACGTGGTGGCTGCTTGGAGGGGGGCAAAGAAGAGGCGCCCTGCTAAGGAAGTGACAACCAAGAAGAACACTCCAGAGAGAGCCCCAAAGCGGAAGGCCGAGAGAGGAACGTCAGCTGCTGCCTCCAATGAAGACGAAGATGATGAGGAGGACGTGGTCAGGCGGAGGACCTCTAAGAAGGGCAAAGCACGTGCAGCTGTAGCAGTGTCGGACGACAGTGATGATGACAATGGGCTTGATGTCCGCGCCACGATAGTAGAGTCTGACACTGAGTAGACTAGACTAGAGTAGATGTAATTTGTGGTGTAATAACACCTCACCAGTAGTTACATAATTTTTTATTTTATAGTTCTTTTACCGTAGTATTGATGAGACTTCAGCTTCTGCCAGAGTTGATGCAATGCAACCCAAAAAAAAAAAAAAAAACAGACAAGCCAGTGCTTTAAGATCTGACACATCAGACAGAGATTTTGGAAAATCCTGATCCACCAGACAGGGCAGCACTCAGCCCACTGATGAAGCAGACGGGCCCTTCGGGCCCGTCTGCTCCATCAGGCTGCTTCAGATCCTAGCGACGTCTCTGGTCCCCGCTCCTAGCCTAGCTCGCTTTCCTCTCGAAAAGTCTCGCAACAGCCCAACACCCCCAGCCGAACTCCCCCGAAGTCCTTGTCGCAGCCCAACACCCACCCCCCCTGCCCTCAGCATGCCGCGAGCTGCCCAACAACCTTCCACATTTAGGCTGTGTCGCCTTGAATCGATATACGGTAATACACTACACGATGCAATTTGGAAAAAAACAGACAGCACTATCTATTTCAGCTGAAAAATCAGACGTGGCGTTTGCACTCGTCTGAAAGTTCAGACTAACCTTTTTTCCTCGTCAAAACGTCAGACCAAACGAATTTTTTTATACATGTCTTCAAACGGGCTTGAATCCTAGCAAGAGCCCTGGACTCGGGCAACTGCTCAATATCGAGTCAGTTGTGTGTCCTTGCTGACGCGCTGCCTTTGTCAAGTCAAAGGTTGCTGACCTTTGACTTTCCTGTAACCTCCAGCGGTTACTTCAACCTCCGAGGGTTGACTCGCTGGTGCCTCGATATGATTTGCTTCGCTTGTGCCTTGGTGTTTCGACACGATAGAAGCGCTTTAGGACTGATTGTTTCCAACACTCCCCTTCGCTTCTGGAGTGTCGCTGACGAGGCTCTGTCCAGTCAGCAACATGCAGTATTCGAACTTCTGCTTTCCGAGTTTCTTGGTCAAGTAGTCAGCTGCCATCTCGGACGTGGGGCAGTATGACAGGACGAGTCTTCCCTTCTCGATCTCGTCCGTCACGAAGAAATATCGCAGGGCGATGTGTTTCGTCCTGTTCGCGAAGCCGTTCTTGTTGGCGATGCGAATTGCAGATTGGTTGTAGCAGAAAAGGGTGAAGTTGGGTAACTCGGCTAACTTCGCTTCTTCTAGCAGTTCGCGAAGGTAGAGTCCTTCCTTGGTGGCTGAGCAGAGTGCAATATATTCTGCTTCAGCTGACGAGAGAGCAATTAGTTCTTGCTTGCTCGATTGCCAAGAGATAGGCCCGATAGGCTCGAAGCGATAGATATAGCCGGTGCGCGATCGTCTATTGTCGGAGTCGCCCCCGTGATCTGCGTCGACGTAACCGACTAGCTTAGGCGGTGCAGTTGCATTCTTATGGTAGGTCACGCCGACCGTCGGGGTGCTGACGAAGTAGTGAAGAGCGCGGTCGAGTTCCGCCAGATGCTATGCTTCAGGCCTTTTGAGATAGGTAGCAAGCTGGCTTGCGGAGTATGAGAGGTCGGGACGACAGGTGACGGCTGCGAAGAGAAGACATCCCAGCTTCTTCTGGTAGTCTCGTATGCCGGCGGGTTTGAGTAGGGCGGAGCCTCCTTTGTCGTTCCCTGCTGTGTAGCAGTATGGCGTGGAGATGGCTGCTGGTGTGATCGTAAAACGTTTGGCGATAGTGTCGGCGTATTTTTCGGCGCTGAGGTAGATCGCGTTCTTTTCTTCGC